ACGCCCACCTGGAGAAGATTGTAAAGCCTTTGGGACCAGTTTTGTTTTTGCATAGAATCATTTGGCATCTGAGAGATTATTGAATGGCCTATTGCGAACAATAGCTCACAAGCTTTTTTGTGCAAGTGTCGTTTTTTCACTGCCATTAATATTAAACATTACAATTAATTTCGTGATCTTTTCAACTCTATTCACTTGAGCCTACATGTGTGTCATCTGAATGTGAATCCGAATCCTGTTTTTTCTTTCTTGGAATTATTTGTTCGTTACACTATTCCGTTTTTGTAATTCATCATGGAGTGATCGATATTCCTGTGTGTCCAGCGCTTCGGCCAAACGTCGTACTATTCTACTGTACACTACTATACACCTCAGGTAGATTATAACAGGAGGGAGGATTTTTGAAGGAGGCTCTGTTTACTAATGACTATTTAGGGTATTTCATTAAGATTCACGTTGTTCTCAGACCCAAATGCTCGCACTGCGTAAAGCTGAAAAGAGACTAGTTCTCTGTTCCCATCGTTTACGGGAGATCGTTTAGTGCAACTGAAACTGAATGCAGTCTTAAAGTGTCTGTGCTGCTGCACAACTGAGCTTTATCCTAAACACCGGGGGAACTTTCACGTGACAACGTAAACGTGACTCATCAAGCTTATCTGTCGCCTTCTAGATACCTACATCGCAGAAAAGGGGCACTTGATCGGGTGCGCGGTGCGGTGGTAGCAGTGTTGGTTTTAGAAAACTGACATTCCAATCCTCTTCAGTCCCCTAGCATTTGTTACAGAAAAGCCGTCAAATACATCCACAATACTTCTTTTATGTGTCGCCATGTAACCGGAACCTGAAATTTCTGTCCATTTCTGGAGTTTTACTCTAGGTTCACCTGACAACGATGCGTTTACAAAAAGGCTTGACGCTAGACGTTTGGCTGTCATTGTTTTAATTTGACTTCCGACTGTATGTTCTCTCCACTATGCTATTGACCGCCTAACACGTATGGTTTGCATCTTGCGGTCAATAACAGTCAGACAACTACCAAACTCCCCTGGTTAATGTCCTTTTTCCATGCCAACGAAAAAGTCCTACACATACAATTCTTAGCCCGTTTTGTATGCCCTATTGGTACACTGGGTCTTCGCCGGACGGGCCTGTTAAAACCCTATTTCTTTTTATCGTTCGCTGCTGTACCGTCAAATAAGGTCGGACGCTAGTATACCAGCAGGTCACCTGCGATTAACGGCTCTGTTTACCAAACGGGCTGAGCTGGTACATGAAGTGCAGCTCCCAGTTTGTGTTTGTCATGGATCCAAACCTACATGTGGGGTCTATACCACAGTACTTACCAGCACTTGTGGAGAACATTAACACGTAAACCTTGAAACATTAAGTTCCACTGTTCACTACTTCTCGAAGAAAGGACACTAGCCTATCACTCTTAAATTCACACGGAATTGGTTCAAGAATTCCTCTGGGATTTTGAGCATACATTCGACTGGCCTGAAGAAAGCCTACGGCAACCACATCATGCTAGATAAATTACACTTTGAAGTGATTTGCTTTGAGGCATAGCAAAAAACACGCTTGTCCTGGTCAGTTGTTTCACTCCAAACAACTGAAATTCCGTGACATGTCCGCCAACCCTTTCCATTTTAGGTTATATCTTGCAATAGCGGTTGGGCGAAACAATTTATCTATTCTCTTCACAGAACGTGATAACCAAATTCATCAAGCATTGGGTTGCGCTCGGCTATCCAAAGTGGAATCGCTTAATGAATCGGTGGAGCTTGAGAAACCTAATTAAGTGTGTCAAGTCAAACATTACATTTCCGTGGTCTTTTACCAAGACTTGTATACTGAAAACCTACTTACTCTGTCTGAACAGATATAAATTTAGTTAGTGCATGCAGCCCCCACCACATCGTTCCGGCGGCCATTATACCCAGCCGGGGATACAGTTTTAATACGTCTTAATTTGGAAACTGCGCCATGATTTTCTCTTGTCTGAACAGATATAAATTTAGTTAGTGCGTCCAGCCCCCACCACATCGTTCCGGCGGCAATTATACCCATTTGGGGATACTGTTTTAATACGTCTTAATTTGGAGACTGCGCTATGATTTTCTCCATATTCATTAGCATCCAGATGCTATGTGACCATAAAGGGAGGGTGCTTTCCGTGGTCTTTTACCAAGACTTGTATACTGAAAACCTACTTACTCTGTCTGAACAGATATAAATTTAGTTAGTGCGTCCAGCCCCCACCACATCGTTCCGGCGGCAATTATACCCATTTGGGGATACTGTTTTAATACGTCTTAATTTGGAGACTGCGCTATGATTTTCTCCATATTCATTAGCATCCAGATGCTATGTGACCATAAATGGGAGGGTGCAGTGGGGCGATAGAACAGGAAAATGCATGGCAACCTGAGTGTGGTGGGCATGTTTTGGTATGTCACAAGTCGCGCCATTTTAAAGTACACTTTTCAGGAAGTGGCCAGGTCTCAGAAGGCCTTCAAATGAGTCAGAAGAAACAATGTGTTCAAGTCTCCTAGGAATGTACAGTCGACCTTGATATGTATATCGGTAATGAATGTGCCCCTTTTTTTGCCCTAGAAGTATTTGGCACAACTAGTTCTTGCTCGCTAGACTTTTGTGTGTCCAGTCGTGAAAGGAATGTGTTTTCAGAAATGATCCAAGTTTAGGTAATCTCTTTTGAATTTCGAAGTTCATTGAAGTGAGAGATATGAAAAAATGACGACAGTTGCTGCTTGTATTGCATTAGAATTGATTTGACTATTTCCAGCCCCAATTTTTTCCCTACTTTACGTAGCATTTCCATGTTTGGTTTCACTCTGTCTCTGTGTACCGACAGAATGGCCGTTGCCTCACTATCTACCTGAATAGTTTAATACATATGATACCCAAGCCACCTCATAGTTGTGGTCACAGGTGGATGATGACAGGTCATCAAATTCTTCCAACCGACAGCCGGATGTTGCTTGGTTTTGTAATGACAAAAGTGGTGTGGGTGAGAAGTTTCTAACTGAACATACTACTGTATGTCAGACAGTGTCAGTAGTGCATACAGAAAATAACTCAATGACAGAGTTGAGTGGCATGCTCTGCGTATGGCGACTGTGCATTGTTTCCGCTGCCAGGCTGTGGAAGTCTCTCGTTGTGAATAGCACGAGAATTGCACGTCGTTCCTATCCCACGTTCTCCAGGCTAGGATGTGCAGTATCTTGTAGGGACAGCCTTACTAATCCATTTCGACCAAAACCAGTCCAAAAACATGCAGGGACGGACAACAAAAGGTGATGGTTCTTGTTCGCTCCTTTGCACACACACAGAGTTGGTTTACGTTCGCTTCGGGAACGGCCCGCTCCGTTTAGCACACCCTTCGATGTTTGTCTTTTAAACACCCACTTCCTATCTACTAATTTAGTACATCCAGCCATCTTGAAAGAAATTGATCCATCTCTCAACTCTAGCAAAATCGAGTTCCTCGCCGTCTATTTTGCATGTATTACTCTGTTTCTAGACAGCGCCATCATGTTTTCACTGAAGAATTTTATTTGCCACCGTTCATGAATACTCTGTAGAGGAGTGCTTTTCACTTAAGTCATCCTTACCTATCACTAAATCACCTCTCGTGAATTCAGGTAGGTTTTCCATGTCATGTGGATTGCTGCCTACGGTTTTGCTATTACATCCCCTCACACTGTTAATTGCATACTACGCACCGTCAGTGTACGTTTTTGTCACAAAAGGTTGCTCTTCTTCTTTAATACTTCCGCTCGATGAAGCATGAATACTTTTGCTTTTTCAATGCTTCACAACCGTCAGGTCATTTCGCTGGCCAGCTGTCTGTCTAGTGACTGCTTCTCACATACTCAGCGTCATTCGTGCGTGGATGTGAACGCTTATGAGTAGCCTTGATCTGTTTGGGTTTCCGATAGGCATTGCGCCAGTAGTTTCTCCCATGGGCTTTTGAGTTGTCTGTCAAAAGACATCCGTCTTACCTGTCGTACATTCTATTTGATTGGCTTAAAGAAGCTTATAGCCACGTACGGCCACTTGGAAGTCTCGCCTCTCCTCCATCACCACAGTATGTGGTGAGGTTGTCTATCTGCGTGGCAAATGACTCCAGATGTCCTTAAAAATACAATTTTCGTTGTTTTTTTTATCTACGATGCACTGCTGCACAACCAACTGCATTATAAGTTGCGTCTATCACTGACACCTCTTCAGTTGTTTACCGCTAGAATTGATACAAATGCTCACACGCTCAGACACTCTTAACTTCATACGATCTGACACACGACTTAAAGTCGCCATTTTTAGTAGACGATTGCGCGACTGATACGTCAGTCATACGTTACTCCATCCTGCTTGCTCGCTTGCTGCTGAGCCTGCTGTCCTCGCGCACGGGGATTTTTTTATCTACGATGCACTGCTGCACAACCAACTGCATTATAAGTTGCGTCTATCACTGACACCTCTTCAGTTGTTTACCGCTAGAATTGATACAAATGCTCACACGCTCAGACACTCTTAACTTCATACGATCTGACACACGACTTAAAGTCGCCATTTTTAGTAGACGATTGCGCGACTGATACGTCAGTCATACGTTACTCCATCCTGCTTGCTCGCTTGCTGCTGAGCCTGCTGTCCTCGCCGCACGGGGATTTCCCCCGTCTCATTCTTCTCAATGGCTGTCTCCCTTCCACAGTACTGCAGCCCCAGAAGAAATATACTGATCGGCAATTCAGTGAACTGTTGTATGCGATAGTATTTATTGAGAACTCGAATGCACCAGCGCGCACAAGAACAAACAATAAAGAAAGGTGCTCCTATTCCCATCCCGTGCACCTCCTTGTCATGTGTAGATCCTCGTCACAAACAGTAATATTTAACCAGTGGCCTACAATTAGGACTGAAACCCAAAATGTGTGACTTTCACCAGCTATTTATGTGCTGCTTTTTTCTTGTAGAATCCCTAAAGTCAGGAAAATTCCACCAACAGCTAACCCAAATGTTTGCACCCTTGGTGGTTCGTTACGTGGATTTGATGGAAACCTCTATTGCCCAGTCCATCGGTGTCATGGATAGTTCTGCAACAGAAACGCCTGCCGCCCCCACTAGCACAGCTAGTGGTTCCGGTTTCGCAGCGACTGCCTTGGGGAATGTGAGTGCTCTGACAAACATGGGATCCCTTGTTTCTGGCGCAGTGTCCGGAGCCGCCAACGCTGCAACCGCTGCCGGACGAGCAGGAGGTGGCCTCATGGCTGCAGCTACCGCAGCTGCAAGCGCTGCAACTGCTGCGGCCACCAGCGGTCCTGGTTTTTCCTCCAATCCTGCCCCAGTAACGTCCAGTGAACTTTTATGGAAGTTGGAGGCACTGCAAACGTTTATTCGTGAACTGCACTGGCCAGATTTAGTGTTTGCCGAGCATCTGGATAACCGGCTTAAAATGATGGCTGCAGATATGATTGATGCGGCTGCTCAGCGGTAGGCCAGAATATTTTATCCGACCTAATAATGTTTCGTTTTGTGCCAGTTATGATTCTTTAATTTCAACATCGCCACAGGTTTGAAAGATGTTCATTTACTCGACTCAGCACTACCGCAAGCCGACTGACTACTGTTCGAAAACCCATTTGTTTTCCCCTTCTTGTGGTTGTCAGGTGAGAGATTCCGTCGACATTATTCCTCACTTGGATACAAAGTTGTTTGTAGATGGATTTATACACTCATTTTGAAATTAACTTGTTGCTAACGGTAGACTCAGCTTGTTCGTTTTGACAATTTAGCTGTCACCAAAAATACAAAGGAGCTCGTACACGGCTTACATGGCGCAACTAAATTCATACATTCGAAAGACGCCCCCATAGCTGTTGGTTAAGTTTGAACTTTTCTCCTCCCTCCCGTAGCTAAACTGTACTGCCTTATGAGAGCCCGTCACTTTACGATTTTTCGCCTGCTTATTTAGGTCGGCGAGTGTTGTGGAAATAACTACATCCTGTAGTACGCCTTCTTTCTATATACAGAATGCACTACTCATAAGGTTGCTGAAAATTCTTCGACAGCTGACAGCCGGCTCCGCCCCTCTTGGGGCTCATCAAGTGGGCGCAACCCCCGAGTTTCCTTCACTTGTGTTCTACTGGAAACCGAATTGCACGAAATTAGCGAACTACACACATTTGCAAATAAATTTGGCTTTGAGAGAGAGAGTCACCATGCCGCCTCATGTTACAGTTGGTACGATATTAGAGATATCGCGACATGTATATATGTAATGCTGAAAATTATTCGAAAGCCGACGACCAGTTTCGTCTTTCTTAGGGCTCATCAGGTAGGCGCAATCCCCTAGTTTCGCGCGATATCTCGAATATTCTACCAACTGAAACATTAGGCGGCCTGGTGCAGCACAGTCAGTTGCCTGGGAACATCACAGACGAGAAATTCAGCTGGGTTCCAGATGAGTCTCCCGAAAAACCAAATTTGTTTGCAAATGAGTGTAGTTCAGTAATTCCTTCTTTTTGTTTTACCGGAATGGACCAAGTGGACTCTACGTTTTAAAAGCAGTCTATTGTGAATCTAGGAACTGCTTCGATGAAAAAGATTCTTCTAGTCGATAAAAAGGTCCCTGATTCTACCGCAAGACGGATTCGTCGGCTTTACGTTACAATACTAATAATGGTTTCCTTTTCCTTGTTACCGAGATACCTATTGTGCGATGCGCTTCGGAAATGTAGTGCAATTTCCATTCATACATATTAATCTGCAGCTGTTCCATCCGTCACGTGCCCTGTACCTTGTTGTTCGAGTCGTGAAGCAACCAACTGCACTGCTGCCCCTGAAAAGCTACAAAGATAGCACTGTAATCACTTCGTCAGTAGCCGAAACTTCATACACTAATTATACTGTTACTTCTAACAACAGAATAGCTTGTGATTAGCATATTTGGATTTTGTGTTGCCAAATTGCTTTAAAAACCCATGGAGAAGGATATATCGATTGCGAAAGTAGGTCTTGATTGTTTCGGATGGACGCGGTTGCAGCCATCTCTTCTGTGTTGCATCCTAACTAGCACTTTGTTGAGACCAACAGGCCACTAATCAGTGAACAATAATCAGGATCTTGTTGAATTTCGATTCTCACTTGCTTCACGCGGAGCATCGCTTCTGACGGCTTCTTATCTATTGCCATCCAACCTTATTTCACTTTATAACATTCACCACTTATCTGTCGTTCGTATTTTCCTTAGCAACCTGGTTTGCTTTGAAACCTGGCTAAAGCGCTCGTCCAAAAGCACTGACTTTATTTTACCCAACGAGTGTTGCAATATGATCAACACGGTGGCCGATCTGAAAGCGAGCATACTGAAGTTGTGTACGAAGGACACCAAAGGCGAGGATATGGTGAGACTGTGATTTCTAGTTGCTCTGTTCCCAGATATCTGCCTTTTTACGTCATTTTCGGTTTCCCCCCAAACAAGCACTGGTCTAGGGATTAACTAAAAGATAAAGTTACCAAGTTGTGTGACCTTTACTCACTAAGACAATGCAAAGTACAAAGTCTAGTACCTGTCTGGCGAAAGTGTAATCAGTACCCTGGGGCAACCGCAACGGACCCTCAGGTGAAACTTCGTTTGAAATGCGCAGCGGATGTATTTAGCTAACGGAGAAAATATCCGGCGAAGTTGTGTGGGATTTTTCATTTTTATTCCTTAACTGAAACTTCCCGCTGCCGAACAGGGGTAAGAGTATCGAAGGGCTTTCTGTGCGTCCTAATGTCCCAGAGGGCAAGGTTTAACTAAGTGTATATATATATATAT